GGGAAGGGAGAGAAATATCCGTGTGGTTAACCGCAAAGCCAACAAAACCCCATAAACCACAAAATAAACGATAGAAACAACAAAACCACATCCTTTGGGCCCTCGGCGCTATTGTGCTGTGCGAGAGCTCCCCGGGGATTCCCATCCACCCGCGCCGCCCTCGAGAGCACGGTGCCAGCCATCCCCATCCCCGCCGAGCCCAGTTTTTGGGATGCAACCCTCCACGGTCCCACTTTGGCCCTGAGTTCCCATCCCGAGCCCGTCGCCACCGACCGACCTCCTCCGATGCCCCTCCAAAATTAGTCCAAGTTTCCAGTCACACTCATAGGGGAGACAGTAGCTTTTGCCCAACCCTGCCCACGCTCCGCCAGCCCCGGCAAGCCGATGCAGGGGCGACCGCCCCATTGTTCCCTGCTCGTCTCCCTTAGTGGGGCACGATAACCACCTGCCCACCCAGCAGAGATGCCACCGGCAGCGCGATGCTCGGGACTCGGTGTTTCGTGCCTCCCCAGAACTTGCGTGGGGGTCACCGCGGATAACGCTCTCTGCCTGCGGGCCCAAACTGTCTCAAGAAGAATGAGATGGACAAGGAGGGTGGTCAAGAAGAGCCAAGCCCATCCACGCCTTTGGGGATCATGAGGGGTGAGGAGCTCATAGCTCACCATGGGAAAGGATGCGGAGGGTGCCCTACCTGGCTTTCACCACAATACCCCAAATAGTTGGTCCAGGGGAACGCTAGGCTGGGAAAAGATCTCAGGAAGGCATCCGGGCTGGCGCCCTGCCGGAGTGGGGCCGCCCACCAGGTCCGCTCGACCTGTGCTTTTGAAACCCCTGGATGTGTCCCCTCGCTTCAAAGCCTGACCAGGGCACCGAGAACTGTTAACCCTTTGGCATCCCACCAGTAGCGCTCTTCCAACACGCGTGCAGACACCTCTCAACGCTTCCCGCTTATCCCCAAAGCCTGGCACAGCCGGGAAGCTGCGCACAAGACCGGATCGGGAGACATGATCGTCTTCATGCTACCTCTGTAGCCCTCCCGACATCTACAAGTCGTCCTATGGGCCAACCGCTCATTGCGTCACAAATGTAGCCTCCTGGCTACGAAGCCCCAAAATCAAGATGATGCTG